TGTCTGGTTTTTTATTGGCGCAATAATAAACAGTAGTACACTGGCGTTTTTTTTTTCCTTTCTGCAAGTATGCAACTGATGCATTTGCTTCAGTCGCATATTTCGGAACGACTGTGTCGGCCTCCTCGAATCTGAACAACAGGAAGAAATCGCGCTAACGACGGTTTTGTGATAAAAGCCAATAACCACCAAGATGTCTTCGTCCGGTGCCAATGGTATCTGATCCATAAGAGAAAGCCAGCCTTGTTTTCCCAGTAGTGCATTTTACATGCGAAAGGTATTTTGGATTATAGTTTCAACGCCGCCCAAAAATTATTTGCAGTCGTGACAACCATCTTTTTTTATTCAGACAATCTGCCTTTGTACAAATTTAAACATGACGATTTTATTAAACAAAACCCACACACTGCGAAGAAATTTCGCAGGATGAAAACTAAAATCTTAACAAAACCCCTTTCAATAAAAAAAACAACTGAAAATAAAGACAAAAATTTCAATTTTCTTTCAACGGATCGAAAACTTTTCGCATTTCCTGCTTCATTTTCAAAATCATTGAAGCTGGCACACAAAAGGAAAACCGTTCAAAATCCGCTGGGCCATTCCTGAAAACAGTACATGTGATGCTACAATCATAATCAACGTAGGTTATTCATTTTCGATAATTATTGAACAGAGGCAGCTATTTTTCTCATTGACCTAATGAATTTTGTTTTCCCAGTTATGCTATTATTATTTTATTAATTGTTGCTACTGAAGTTTTTTTTTTTTTTTTAAACCCAGAAACAGTGCCTACATCGTCAGATGTACTTTTTGCTACTGCAATAATCAAAAAAAAGAAAGAATCGATTAACTTTAAGTTAGCTGTTACTGGTTCTCAATATGAGAGCTTGATAAGTAAATAAAAGAGAAAACAAGAAAAACAATTTGGCATCTCTTTATAAAAAAAAAAAAAAAAAATGAAGAAAAACAGGTGGTAAAAGACAGAATCACTAACAAACCAAGCAGCAGG